ATTTCAATTCTAATAATATAAACAGTCAATATTTTTTTTTCCGAAAAAAATGTTTATCTTTGACTGTCAAATTGCTCGTTTTTACTCAATACTAAGAAAAATACATTAAAATATTTTAAAATTCTATCTAAAAATCCATAAAAATAGGAGTTTTCGATTTGAACCAGGGGATGGTCCGATTTGGAACCAATAGTTCTAAATCGGACCGAAAAAATTGTTTTTACATTTTCCATTATAGTTTAACACAAGTGAGAGATATGTCAAAATAATCTGAAGCAAAAATGAAGAGAATTAAATGATCTTTCCAACAGCACCTTCGATTTTACGATCGGACTTTATTTATGTCTTATAGAGAGCAAAAACTGCAAATAGGTCCGATTTAGACCTATTAAGATTAAATTTGGGGAGGATTATTAATATTTCAGTTGCATTGAAAGTCTGATAGTAATAGCGTACAGTCATTCCTGAGATAAATTCATTTAAAAAGAATACGTATATGTATTAGTTCAATATCTAACTTTGATCGTCAATGGCGCTTCTCGTATTTAAGTGATGTACTCACATAAACGATCTTATTTCCAATCTTATTATTGTCACTCAGAATATGTTTAAGTATTGTCAATATGAAATTTTAATAACTTGATTTTACATACATTTACAAACAAAATTATATAATATACTTAATAGCGAATATTTTAAATTAATATATTTACACACATTCGTATATTCTTAAATAAATAGTACATAATCAAGTCTCTCACTTTTATTTCACAATGTGGGTGAATTTATTAAAGATTTTTTTCAATTTTATTCATTGTGTGTGTGTGTGTGTGTGTGTGTGGTAATTAGTAGGGTTCAAAATTTAGCGATTTTTAATGATATTTCGAATTATCATTATGTATAATTAATCAATTTTGTCATTTTTTGTCATAAACAAAAATAATAAAATTATATATTGCGTTTATTACTATTCTTATATATATACTAATTTAAATTAAATTAACATAATATTGTTCAGTATTAATATTCGTTTAAATAAATGTAATATTCCATCCATACTTTTAAAGTAATTATGTACACTGAGGGATTTATCAGTATTAAAATATAAAATTATTAATTATTATTTATCTTTTGTTTAATATTATTTTTATAAATTACTCTACAAAAATGTAAAATTTATTATAATCTATTATAAAATTACTGTAATAAAATTTTAAATCTTGAATGAAAAAATAAAAACCTAAAATATTTCGATATGTGATAATTTTAAAGTATTATATTATAATATCGATAAATTCCTTAATAACAAATGTACTTCCTTTTTAAGTGTAGTAGTCATATTTAAAATGAAAAGTTTAACTGACTATGAAATCTAAAACCACAAATGTATAGTTTTAAAATATATTTTAATGATGCATGTGGACATATAGTAGGAAAATTCCACTAGATGGACATATATATATATATGTATATAATAATCTTCTATTATAAAACAGGATGAAACAAAATAGGTGAAGGTGGAAAACTAGCATATCTCTAATGTAGAGAAATCTACATCTATTAATGTGCAGAATAAGATTTTTAATAAACCATACAAAATTAATATTTATATATGCCGTTACGAGAGTATTAATATACAGAAATATTTTCATAGTTTGACTCCAGAGTAATTCAGCTTTACTTATAAATATTTAAGATACAATTAAAATGTTAATAATGGATAGGCTGTGGCTAAAATATTAGTTGAAAGCTATTTTTATAGCTTTTTGACTTTAAAAATTATAAAAAATAAATATATTTTGCTATATTTTAGCATTGCCATTGGTATAGAAAGCTAATATGTACAGAAAACTACAGTAGATAACATTGTACGCCTTCGATAACATTAGTCATTAAATTAAGGCTATTTCAATTAAAAGTCTTATTAAATTATATTTATTTATACATATTTCATGGAAAATGTATTATTTAATTGCATTATTATTTAAACGGTGTCAAATTTATGTACTGAAATATATTGTTCTATTCTGAAGAAAAAAAATAGTATTTTTAATTGTGTAATATTCAAATTAATAATTTCATGAAAACGTTTTGAACAACAGATTATAAACAATTGTAACACTTATTTCATATAACAAATTACAAATTCAAAACATCACAAAAAATTTTGTGCAAGAAATGTTATTCATTTTTATGTTAATATATATATATCAATCTTACAAGTAACACTACCCAAGTGCCACTCCGGGATTGACTTCTACCTATGCAGATTTTGTAAAGAATCGAAAAATATTTGATACGTATTTTTTTATTTCGGCAGACATGATGTTTTAAGGGCTGAAAATAGGGGTTGAAATATTAAATTTTTTAATAAACGGGTGTATTTCCGAATAATGCTGTTATGCGATCTAGCTGTAATTTGATATATTTATGTATTTTGATGTGCTTATTACGAATATGATAAAAAAAATTGTCGCCAAGGTCATTTTCAAGGTCAAAATTCTTATCAAAAATTTGTCATCAAATTTCTAATATCTTATTCTCAAGTCAGTAAAACTGTCTCCGCACGTGTATGAATTGCTACTGTATTTCACTTGTTTTTTTTCTCCGTGTACATTAAAATTAATATATTAGAGTTGAAAACAAGTGACTGACTTGAGAATAAGATATTAGAAATTGCTCTTCTGGCAAGAATTTAATCAAAATTTGATGACAAATTTTTGGGCGATTTTTTTGAGTTTTGACCTTGAAAATGACCTTGGCGACAATTTTTTTTATCATATTCGTAATAAGCACATCAAAATACATAAATATATCAAATTACAGCTAGATCGCATAACAGCATTATTCGGAAATACACCCGTTTATTAAAAAATTTAATATTTCAACCCCTATTTTCAGCCCTTAAAACATCATGTCTGCCGAAATAAAAAAATACGTATCAAATATTTTTCGATTCTTTACAAAATCTGCATAGGTAGAAGTCAATCCCGGAGTGGCACTTGGGTAGTGTTACTTGTCAGCCCCTACAAACGTGGACAGGGCGTAGCAGCGAAGAAAAAAAAA